TATTTAGGATAAGTTTGAATCTATATATAGTTATGACGAATCTCGAGGGAGAGAGATGGCTCAGCCACGCGTTGGGCGATGAATGGCGTCGGCTCCCTATAAATAGGGAGAATGATCAATCCGGAGAAGGGAAACGAAAGAAGAAAAGAAAAGAGAAAGAGAGGAAGAAAGAAAAAGATGATGGAAATTAAAAGGGTTCTTAATAATAGAAAAAAAGAGTAAGGTATTAAAGTTAAGATGAGTTTTATTATATTTTGAATTATTAAAATGTATTTTATTTATGTTTTGACTTATCAAAATTTGTTTTATATAAGTTATGTTTTTAACAAAAGTTATATTTTATAAAGGTTTCAATTACGTGGTTTATCTTTTGAACCCTATTCGCTTAAAAGGAAACATATGGATATGTCTATTTATATTTTAAAGAATATTTGGCTATAACCTTATATAAAATTATGTTTTGTAAGTATTACCACGGGAGTCCCACGTCTTGGGGGACTTAAATAACCACTGGCTTCTGTTTGGTTACTTTGTGGCCCTCTGATCCATTGACCTCTGTTCTGTGCGGAGCAAAGTGCTATGCGGAGCTAAGTGCTACATTATTGTGGGAGCCACCTCTAGAATCTGTACGAGCCACCTCTTGAATCTGTGTCACTTCTGTGACCTCTGTTCTGTTCTGTTCTGTTCTGTATCGTGATTATGGTTATATATTTATATAATTTATGTATTTCAGTTCTGCTACTTAAATGAGCAATTTCTGCTACTCAAATGATTTGTTTATGTAAATGTTTTGGTCTAACTAACGATCCATGGTTATTTCGTATCCCTTATACTCTTGGTATAATATTTCTCACTCTGCCATGTGCTTATAGTTGTTTACCAATTTTCAGGAACCAATACAATTCAGAAATAGCTTCTGAAAAGTCTTAGATGCAAGGCTGCGGAATAGACATACATAACATTTTTTTATATGTAAATATCGGCCTTTTTGGTCAATACTTTTTGTAATAAAAATAGAACCTCCAATGATTATTTTGGTACCCTTATTGAAATATTTCTTCCGCTTGCATTCATTTATTTGTTTAAGAATTGATCGTAGGTAACTTCAGTCACTGGCCATCACGATGCTTAACCCTTGGGTACGGGGAGCGGGTCATGACAAAATGACCCCATTTTGGGACTCATTTTGATAATTTGAACCGTTCACATTTTAAAATACATCAAATAGCACATGTCTGAAAAAAAGTAAGTTAATCGGATATCGTTTACACATTCACCCTCTCACATTTGTATCTACAAAAATAAATAATAATTATAATTCAAAATATTAAAATGAATACAAATGTGAGTGGATGAATGGGTAAACGATATTCGATTAACTTAATTTTTTACAAGAATGTGTTACTTGATGTATTTTAAATGTGAACGATTTGAATTATCAAAATGAGCCCCGAGATCGGCCCATTTCGCCACACAACAGTTGCTGCTGCCCAGGCTACGCAGCAGCATCTCCAATTCCTTACTTAACATTAATTTATTATTTATTTTTATAGATACAAATATGAGTGAATAAATGGATAAACGATATCTGATTAACTTAATTTTTTACAAATATATATTATTGATGTATTTTAAAATATAAATAGTTCAAATTACCAAAATTGATCCCAAAATATGCCCATTCCATCGCGCAACAATTACTACCGTGCAGACTATCTCCAATTCCTTACTTAACATACATACTATTGTCATAAAACAGTCCTTCATTTATGTTGGGCCTACATGGAACCATATAAGTGAATAATTCTTATCTATTTAGAGCAACAAAATAAAAGGTAATCATTAATTTTTCAATGTCTCATTTTAGATACTAAAATTTTATTAGTAAGAAAAAAAATATAATAATTATTAATTTCAAACTTTCACGTATTCTAAGGATTAAAAATGTATTGAAAAAGACTCGGAGATAAAGAGTTTTAGAGTCTTTTACTATCATATTTTAGGATTAATTTTTTTAGCCCATCAAAAAGTCATTTTGTCATTTGTCACACATCTCACAAAAATATAGAAAAAGTAACTTTAGAAAAATCAAAAAAATTGAAAGTCACGTAACACATAATGATCAAGTTTTAGAATAGTTTAGTTCTGCCATTGGCATATGAGCAATCAGGACACCTTTGCCATTAAGGTCATGTTTGTTTGGGTGGACATGAGTTTGGGATTGGATTAATAGTCCAATAAAATTATCAATCCGATGTTTGGTCAAACAATTGAAGTAGGGACTAATTATTTTAAACTTGATTATTAGTTAAGATAGGATACATAATCTAACGGATTCGTAGTCCTAGGACTATTAGTCATGGGAATGCTAATCCAGTCCGCCCAAACAAACATGGCCTAAGAGTGTGTTTGTTTGAACGGATTGGATAAGATAGATTGTAATTTATCAGATTAATAGTTTTGGGATATATTATCCCTGGACTATTTGGTTAGATTGGATTTGTATCGTATGTTTGTTTATGTTGGGATCTAGGATCCCGCCCAAGACCTTATAGAAATCAAAACAAGCAGAAAAAACACACCCACACACAAGGAGACACAATATTTTACGTGGTTCGGCCCAATGCCTACGTCCACGGGAGAGTAACCGGTTATCACTATACCAATGAGGAGATTACAGAAAGATTACAATAGAGGAGGAGCTCACACTCTCCTCACTCAGACACTCACCCGTCTCCCTCGCTCACACCGAGAGAGACGGTCTCTCCGCCTCACATCTCTCACTCTCTTTGTTGTCTCACGGTTTGCTCACATTTTGCTCTCTCCTCTCAACCTCCACGTTTGATAGAGTTTTGTAAATATAATTTGAGAATATGAGTTGTATTTTGAGTTTGTGAGTTGTAAAATTATGATTTGAGTGTAAAAAATTTGTTTGGTTATGATTTTTGAATAGAGTGTTGAATTGAGTTTTGAATTGTATGTGAAATTGAGTTTTGAAAGTTTGATGTGACATGTGAAATAAGAAAATTTGTTTGGTGATAAGTTTTTTAAATAGTTTTTAAAACTTAATTCAACCTATAATTGATAATTAAACACACAATTCATAACTCGATATCCGTATTTTTGATCAACAGTCATAACCAAACTATTTTTAAAATACTCAAATAAAAAAATGATTTTCTTTCAATTAATTGTTTTTAAGTAATTTTTTTGAATAATTTTTTTTTTCAAATAATTTTTTTTTCCAAATAACTTCTATGTCAATTATTTTATGTCAATTAATTTTTTGGGAGATGCACTAATAAATCCCAAATTAATAACTTATACACTGTTTAGTCCTAAAAGTTTTCTTATAGACTGAAAGGTCTCATTACAATATTTCAAACATCAGATTAATGTTTCGAACATTAGATTTCGAACATCAGATTAATGTTTCGAACATTAGATTTCGAACATCAGATTAATGTTTCGAACATTAGATTTCGAACATCAGATTAATGTTTCGAACATTAGATTTCGAACATCAGATTAATGTTTCGAACATTAGATTTCGAACATCAGATTAATGTTTCGAACATTAGATTTCGAACATCAGATTAATGTTTCAAACATTAGATTGATGTGCAAATGGGACTAAATGGAGCATAAGAAAACTTTTAGGACTAAATGGTTCAACTTTTCAAAAATTAGGACTTATGGGTAAATTTTCCAATAAAGAACCTCCCCCAAATTACAATCCCAATAGTAAATAATTTCCCCCTTATCCCCCAATCAAACACAGCCTAAGAGCTTTGACCAATGCATCACAAATTTCTGTTCCTCACACACTTCTGTAAAGTTGTAGACTTGCAGAAAATGTTTAAATCTTGAACATGATCTGCAAATAGTCCACAAACATCACTCAACAGCCACTAGAAGTTTGCTTAATGATCATCACAAAGAATCGATGAGTTCCAATGGAATATCCTGTTGGACTACACACCTGGGGCATTAGACTTTCATTTTACCTGCAGAACACAACTAATGCCATTGTATAATTACAAAATCACAGTATGCAATCTCTACACTTAAGTGCATATTTCAATTACTAAAGCTTTAATATTTAATAGTTTGCCACTCAACTCTCTGTTAATGACAGATTTATATAAGACTTTTGGCCATTCATAACTCAATAATTCCAGAAAAAACAGATGTTACCAAACATCAAAAAAGAGAAAGCACAAGATCATTTGTTTGGTTTGGATTTTCATAATTCAGTTTTCAAAAAATTAAAATTTTTTATTTTCCTTGATTTTTTTGTTTTTATTAAAATTTTTAAATATTCTAAGCAATTTTTTTAATTTTTAGATACACCTAACATAAATACATTTCAAAAGTATAATACTTGTAAAAAAAATCTTTAAAAAATTCACTAAATATCAAAAAATACAAAAAAAAAAAAAAATCTGAGAATTCAATACATTTTTCATATTCTTGTGTATTTATTAATTTTTTAAAATATTTTTCACAAATATTTTACTTTTTAATACATCAAAGTAAGGTGTATCTAAAAAAAGTAAAAAAAAAAAGTTTAAATTTTAAAAATATTCACTAAAAATAAAAATAAAAAGCACAAAAAACAAAAAGCATCTAGAAAATTCAAACCAAATTTCCTTCTGTTTTTGTGGACAACTTTTGTTTTCTCCAAATTTCGTTGGAAGTAGTTAGAGTAGAGAATACATGTCACGGAAGGTTTCAAGTTCACTAGTTGATCAAATGTGCATATACAACTTGTGAGGATTGCAGCATTTTCCAATATATAATCACTGTCTTTCTAATGCACTCCTTGGCCTCAGAGATGATTAGTTAATAACAAATTACTTAACAAAATATGCAAACAAAATATAGATCCATCAAGTACGCAAAAAATGAACAGAACACGTCAGAGCCATCAAAAAATTTGCACCACAATCAAGTATGTAAACATAATGAACTTGTTCTCTCTTCTTTCTAGTCAGTCTTCAATCCGGGTTTAAGCCCAACATTTTCTCCAGCTTCTCAACCCTCTGTTCTAGATCCTTTCCAACTTTCTGAAATCTGCCTGTAGTAATGTCCTTGTAGTGGTCAAGATCTATAGGGTCACCAATAGACTCTCCAGTCTTTCTTTGCTTCCCTACTTCAGCCACACCTTTCGGTGATTCTCTGCCTTCTTTGCTATATTGCTTCATCTCAATCGGTTCATCAATATCTATCAACCCATTGACACATCCAACCTCTGTTTTCACTTCTCTAGCAGTACCATTTGTCCCATTGGTAGATTTACGTTTACCAGCCTTTACCTCCACTTCTTCAGCAACACCACTAGTGCGTTTCGTGGTTACTTCACCCCCTTTTGTTGTGGTACCCAACTTTCTTTTTCTGCTATTACAATTGGCAACTTTTGAAGTTGAAGAAGCAACACTTCGGGATTGGTAGTGTGAAAAGGTTTGATGTGAACTACTGGTACTTTTTGAATCACTGTAATTATGTTTCAAACGCATTGATAATGGAATATGGTCTTCATCGCTTGAATCATAAGATATCCCCTTGTTTATCCCAGAAGGAATGGATGGAGTGACTGACTCGTGAATGTGTTCCTTGTTTGATTTTGTTGAAACTTGAGGTAATTTACTACCACTCTTTGGAATCTTCGATGCGATTGAGACTTGGCAACTGCCCTTGATCTTTTTTGCCTGAACAGAAGATGATATTTTGGGGTTCATTGTTGGCCAATCCTGCTCTTCAATTCCAACAAATCTTTGCATCTTGCTCTTGGAAGGGAATTCAGGAATTATTGAAGAAAGGCCACCTTCACTGCTAGATTTTGTTGAAGGTTGTGACACTGACATAGGATTAACTTGATTCCCCGATGCAACCGAGCCATGACAATCTTCCCCATTCCTGTTTGCCTCAAGGGGTAACAAATCTTTAGAGATCTTGGCATATCTTTTTTCCACCAAAACATCTTTGATTGCGCCATTTCGAGTAAGCATCATATCCTTCCACCACTTGATATATCTCTCCGAAACACCTGGCTGGAAGGACCTTGGTGGGACAAAGAAGCCAACATGTTCACCAATGAAATTTAATCCACAAGGATCAGCATGAAGATCTTGATCCATCCCAAACTGCATTGCCACACGGTGTGGTAGATACTTCTCTTTACAATCTACACCAATCAGCTCAGAAGCCTGCAAGCATTTGAAGAAAGACCGCAACTCCAACTCCAAACTAGAATCAGTAGATAACCATTGTTCAGTTTCTTCATAATATACCGGATGGCGCCAATTTTCCAAATTAGAAGCGTAAGGCCGCCACTTAAAATTTTCTGGAAGTTGCAGAGCTGATCGAACAAGGGGCAGGTTAATTTTCAAGCTCAGTTTGTGCCACCGCGCAACTCTAGGCTCACCAGGAAGGAGTGAATTGGGGGAATTAGGACCCATAAGTGGAAAATGTTCAAATGCCCAAAGCTGCACTAGTTGGAATGGTCCTTTAACAACAATTAACTCCATGGAATCGATAGTTTGTTGCTTCAACAATCTCAAGTCTCGATAAAGACTCCCAAGAACAGCAGGGCCAAGTGCCATTGGTGTTCCTCTAGACAAATGAATCGCAATGGCGAAAACATGTTTTCCAATGGTTTCTTCAGCAATTGAAGGGAAGACAAACCTTGACAACCACAGTGACAGAAATGCAACATGCTCAAACTCATGCTGTTCAACCATGAAATGCTTGATCCAACTAGAGTGATCTGCTTTCTTTGCCTTGCTTTTCAACATTTGGCTTCTCTGTTTTTCCAATTCTCTCTCAATTTTCACCAATTCCTCATCAAGAGGACTCGTAACAGGCTCTCCAAGAACTGGGTATCCACCAAGAACCATCAAATCTTCAAGGGTAATCGTGGATTCGCCCCATGGAAACACAAACGAGTTAGTCTCAGAACACCAAAACTCACACAACCCAAGAACCAAATCAGGGTTGCAGCGAACTTCGTATATAGAACTCATGATAGCATCGCAAATACCAGTTTGGTTCCAAATGGCGCCATGTTTTTCAGCTAATTTTTCGACCCATTCCTTCCATCTTCTCTGGGGTTGTTTCCAGGCTCTGAAGAGGACTTTTGAGGGCCATTGTTGAAGACTGTGAGGAAAGATTTCAGACAAGAGAGGAGTGTTTGGAACAGGGATTGCTTGGTTGATTTGCTTTGCGCAGGGTTTGAGAAACCTAGCGATTCTCACTCTGGATTTGGAGGAGTCCCCATCTTTTGGTGACACCACTTTGGTTTTTCTTGATTCGTAGATCAGAGTTTGCTGTTCTTCTTCTTCATCCGCCATTGTTGAAGCTCAGTAGTAAGTGACACACAGTACACAGAGAGACAGAGAGAGAGAGAGAGAGAGAGAGATAAGTGTAAAAGGCACGATCGATTTTTGAAATTGGAGAATTGAAAAGGTGGGGGGGTTGGGTTAGGTCGATCATGTATCCTAGGAAGGTGGAACGTATGAATATGCGCAGACGGGGTCGTGTACGGAGCTGGTTTGATCACAGATTTTTAAGATTGTTAAAAAAAAATAATAATAATATTATACAAATGAGTAATGCTATAACATTTTTATCAAATATTTGTGTGGGATTCATGTGAAGTTTGATATTTGATAAAAAAGTAAAATATTTGAGATTTATACAAATAACATTTTCTATAGTATTTTATTATTGTTTTTTTGTGTAAGATTTCTTAGGGTAAATTACACTGATATTCTTAAGATTTGATCTCATTATATTTCATCTCTTGGCATTCTAAAAATTACATTCACACTTTTGTGATTAATAGTCTCATTTCACAGCTTTTACTTATATAAAAGACAATAACTTGTAGTAAAAAAAATATAAAATCACATAAAAAAAAAGTAAGCAAAGGAAATGGAAAAAAAAAAGAAGTAAAACAAAAAAAAAAAAAGAAAGTGCATGAGTTCAATATCTTTATTCAGTTTAAATAATTACAATGACAAAGAGATTAATGTACTTTTCCAAATATCAAGAGACGATATGTATTAAACCTAAATCTTAGGGGTTATAAGTATAATTTATACTATTTCTTATTTGAATTTTTACTCTTTTTGGCCTGAGGAAGTCGATGGGGGAAAAAAGATGCTTTAAATAGTCTCTTTAGCCTCCGTTTGGGAAGTGAGTTGACTTTTTGGCTTTTTGGCTTTTTTAGCTATTTTAGCCTGGGCTAAAAAGCTTGGTTTGGGAAGGACTTTTTGGTTTTTTGACTTTTTTGACTTTTTTTGTGAAAGAAGAGTAATGATTATGGGTTGGATGTGATATTTTGTTTTTTGTGGCTAAAATAGCCAAAAAAAGCCTCAAACTCTTCTTGCCAAACGAACCCTAGTCATGTTTGTTTGGCGAATTAGGTTGGATGAAATTATTAGTGAGAGAATGATCAATGAAGAGATTGTTAATGTGAACATTGTTAGTGAGAGAATTAAGTAAAAGTGTATTTGTTTTAATAATAATGTGTGAGATGATTAATGATAGGATTGTTAAATTCCTTTTAAATAAAATAAATTAAAAAATTATTTTTATATTAAAAAAATTAAAATAAATATTAAAACAAAAGGTGCATTTGGTGTCACGACCCAAACCCGCCCCTAAAGGTTTAACATCATAACCAGCCAGTAATCCGTGATTACCAAAGGCCTGCTTAACAGTAATAACAATAATACAGAGTAAGGGGCTGGCGGAAGCCAAACAGTAAACAAAAAATGTCCAATGAGCTGTGAAAATCTGAATGGAAAAAGACTTTTATGGACTAGTCCGCATTCAACCATAAATATATTTACATATCGGATACACATAACATACGGTTAGGGATCCAATCCCTTTTACCATAACTGTACAGTCAAAAGTCTTGAGCATTCATTACAAACAGAGACAAAATGGTGAATCTGAAACACCCCAAAAACAGCCTTGGCTTGAACGGACTCGGAACCTCGAAGTGAGGCACAATGGTTGGCTTGACAAAACGTGAGCTTAACTCGACGCATCTAGCTTCGGTCCGATGCCTGGCCACCTATATATAAATATAAACAGTGAGCTAAAGCCCAGTGAATAACAACTGTGTAAATAGGTTAAGAATGAATGTCCTTTTAGTAATTAAAACAATCATTTGCATCAGTAGATCAGTTATTCAATTAGTGGCTCATATTTCATGTCATATCAGTCAATTAGAAATCATAACAATCATATGTGGTACATCCAATAGCAAAACGGTACAGTAGGTCTTAATAGACCAAGCAGTCAGTTGATGGCCATCAAATAGTAAACAATAGTAATTCCAAACATTAGAACTGACAGAGATTTTTGTAACAGTAGTAGTAACAGTAACAGTAAGTTGCTATGGATGCCACGAATACAGTTTACAATTAGAACAAACATTCATTCAGTAAACAATGTCATTTTAGAAAGTAGTACGGTCAATCGTTCAGAAAATAATTATAATTGAACATAGCTTTACAACATTGTTACTCACAGACAACAGGGCTACAAGTAGGCTATTTAGCTTCCTTGAGGTGCGTAACCTACACAGTTATAGAATGAACGCATACTAAATTACACACCCAGAATTGATAACTCAGAGCGGACTGCAAAACACATGAACTTCTGGGCATATGCATTTCACGATCGAGCGTGACTCTCGACGCTCAAGCGGAATTGCATGTACTCAGAGTGTACACTCGAGCGTGATGTCCTCCGCTCGAGCGTGGATCAAAAATCTGGAATTTTCAGATTGATCCTCAAGCACAAAACTCAACCTCTAAAGCTTCAAATTCGATTTTTCTGGGCTAATTTTCTAGAAAACACTTAGAAACCCATAATGCAACATGTTTTAAAGATCATTTCATAAAATCAAGCCCAAAGGTGTGACAATTGAACACAATTTGTAATGTAAACTTGAAGAACAATGCAAGAACATAACATGCATGAGTTCTAATGAACTCTAATGCTCCAAAATATGATCAAATGCAAGATTGAGCTCAAAGACATGGTGAGTCTCAAGAGTACAACCAAAATGTGGGCATGCATGTGGAAATTCTCATGAAAATGATCTCAAAACTCAATGATATGGACATACATGCAAACATTGCTACTCAATACAACACTTTAAGCTAATTCTTGACTCTAATCACCAATTTTCCATGAACTATGCATGTAACAACTTAAATTCACAATTGAGAGGATGAATTTCCTACCTTAAGTCTTGAATTCCAAGTGTAGAAGCCTAATTTCTCAAGTCTCCTTCAATTCCTCTAATTTCAAGCCAAAATCTAGATGAACTCAATTTTTCTTCCAATTCCCTCTCTCTCACGTTTGGTCTAGTAGATGGATGAAAAGTGGTGCATCAAACATATGTAAAGTGTAATAAGGGTTGGTCTTGAATTAATCCACTCAATGGCACAAGTGTAATTTACCTAGGTTCAATTAGTTTAACATTGTTTATTCTAATTTAATCATTCCAAATTGAATTTTAATTAAACCTACCACAAAATCTTATAAATCCTAATTAGCATATAACACTAATCAATTTCTGAATCGGTCACCGATAAGGCTTTCAATTCGCAGTTCGAAATCAAAACATGAACAGATCAATCAATGACAAGCAGATAGAAATGCAATTAAAGCAACACACTTATGCAATCAATTCAGGATTTCATCTTAATCAATTACTTATCATGCTTAATCACAATTTAACACTAATCAAAGGTGAGGGTTGTCACACTTGGGTAAAAAAAAATATTTTAAAAAAAGTTGGTCGGCCAATTATTTTTTTGTTCAACTGAATATTTTTTTGGTTGGCCAGCTATTTTGTAAAAAAAAAGAAAAATTTGCACTGTAGCAGACATCTGGGTAGACATCCGGGTGAACGACCAGATAGATTGAAACAGCTCACTATTTTTTTAATCTCACTCGTTTCCCAACCAAGCTAATCTCCTTACTGAGGGGAATTACTAAGTCGCGCAGACTGTGAAGCCAACCTTCCCAAACAATCCCAAACATGCTGTGAGTGGGACCCACAACAATCTTACTCCAGTCCGACCACTGAAGTGGCTAAATAAATGAGGCCTTTATTCTTACTTTTTATTTTTTGAGTATGATTTATTTTTTAATTTTTTTGTTTATTATGAAAAAAAATATGTAAAAAAATAAAGAAGTGATACAATCTAAGTAAACAAATAAATTAAATTACTTATTTTGGGGGTATCCAAAACAAGCATTAAGCAATCAAACCAAAAAAAAAATCATATCAACAGCCTTCTCTAAGCAAAAAAATATTTATAGGAGTGAACTTTTGATTCCATACATTTAGAAAAATATTTAATCACTCTCTAGAATTAAAATTTAAGGAAATTTGGTCATAAACTTCTCTTATCTTTCTTTTTTTATTAAAAGGACAAAAAAAAATGGTACTTTTAAAACCTCATCATAATTATAAAATAATGTATGAAAGATAAAATTTATTATTTGAATATTTTATTTGACCATTATACTCTCTTTCTTTTTTTCTTTTTTTTTACAACACTCTCTCTCTTTTCAGCAACTCGATGTTGTTCATCGTCTCTACCATCTTCATCGTCTATTAGTGTTCGCTCATCTAACTGTTGACCGACAACCACCATTTTTACCGTCAAACCACTACCATCTCAGATTTGATACCTACGAACTCATATTTAAGATCAATAACTTTAGATCTGAGATTTAAAATAAAAAAACTTAGATTTGACAGAAAAATGAGAAATCAAGATATTACAATAAAAAAATCAAGAAAAAAATCAAGAGTTTTTTGTTTGTTTATTCATAGATCTAAAAGTAAAATTTGACTCTGATTCGTTCATTTAGTATGCACTCTGTTTTTGTAACAGTAAAATTTTATTATGATTAACAACGTACTGATCTACTTAACGACAGTAAAATTTTACTCTGAATCAAAGTAAAAATTTTACTCTTTTTTTTTATTATAGAGTAAATTTTTACTCTGAAACAAGCCGCGAGGATGGCTCTATAGAAGAGTGTTATATCATAAACCAGAATAAAATTTTACTGTTAAAATAACAGAGCATCATGAGAAGAAGAAAGAGAGATAGAGAAACAGAATTCGAAAGCAGAGGATTAAGAAAAGAAGAAGAAGATAAAATGAGAGAGAGAGAGATAGAGCATAAATGGTGAGTGAAATACACACGTACACATACATATATGTATATATATAGAGAGAGAGAGAGAGAAAGGGGGGGAGAGCACGAACCATCAGAACCAAAGAGAGAGAGAGTGAAGGATATCA